CGCAGGAGTTTATTGCGATCGGCATATCAAACCTACTAGGTCCGTTCTTGGGTGCATACCCAGCTACAGGCTCATTCTCGCGAACTGCTATCAAAGCAAAGTGCGGCGTACGCACTCCCCTCGCAGGTGTGATCACTGCCGTTGTCGTCCTTCTTGCCATATATGCGCTGCCAGCATTGTTCTTCTTCATTCCCAAGTCGTCCTTGTCGGCCGTCATCATCCACGCAGTGGGTGATCTCGTTACACCGCCCCGTATCACCTATCAATTCTGGTGTGTATCTCCAATTGACGCACTCATCTTCTTCATGGGCGTTACCGTGATCATATTCTCAACTATCGAAGTCGGAATTTACTGCACAATCGGCGTATCACTGGCAGTACTCCTCTTCCGACTCGCCAAAGCCCGAGGCCAATTCCTCGGCTACGTCCAGGTCCAATCAGTCGTAGGTGATCATATCCTCAGCGTACCCCAGGAAGATCCAAGCACAGGATTCGAAGATGATACCGAGATGTCCAGAAGAATCTACCTCCCAATGGAACACGAAGGTGGCACAAACCCCCGAGTCAAGATCCACCAGCCAGCCCCCGGAGTCTTCATCTACAGAATATCCGAAGGGTTCAACTATCCCAATGCAAACCACTACACAGACCACCTAGTCAGTCACATCTTCAAAGAAACCCGACGCACAAACCCACAAGCATGGGAAACAACAGGCGACAGACCCTGGAACGACCCAGGCCCAATCCGCGCCAAACGCAAAATCCTCATGGCAGAAGAAGCACCCACTTCCCTACTCCCAACTCTCCGCGCCATAATCCTCGATTTCGCCGCCGTCAACAATGTAGACGTCACATCCGTGCAGAACCTCATCGACGTCCGCAACCAGCTAGACCGCTGGGCATCCCCAGACACTGTGCAGTGGCACTTCGCGCACATCCACAACAGATGGACGAAACATGCTCTCACAGCCGCTGGTTTCGGGCTCCCCGTCCTCTCGGAGGGGTCAGGTCCTCGATGGCAGAGGTCAATCTTTAACGTTGCGGAGATCCTAGATGACAGTCTACCTAGTTCAGTGTCTCAGTCTCATACCGAAGGGTCAGAGGACTGGTCGAAGGATCTAGAGACTGGCCTGAAATTGCAGGGGAGTAGTGCTTCCTCGTCGGTTATGGGTGTCTCTGGGGGTGAAATTCAGGTTGTGCGGACTGACCAGAAGGATGCGAAGGTTAATACTCATCGGCGCCGCGGTCAATCTGGTGTCGGTAATGGTGTGGCTGTCGTCGACGGAATTAATCGGCCTTTCTTCCATGTGGATCTGACTAGTGCGCTAAAGAGTGCTATGGCTGATTCTTAGGGGATGCATACGCTGGCAGGACAACCGTCCTTGGCTGGGTATATCGCTGGATGGCTGGTTTGCTTTCTTACTTTAACTAATACTTGCTCGCTGCTGGGGTCTTCCTAACTAGCTTTATATTCTTATCAAGGGATTATCCTCGTCTCAGAGACCTCTGAATCAAATGGATGAGACTAAGTAGGTCTTGCATTTTATCAATTCAATATCAAAGAGAATCGTACGTCGCTTATGCGGCCTTGTCATGTCTTTTGGTCGCCCTTTTATGTCTTTTATCCCTAGATATCTTGTCCTCTTCTCGGAGTTTCTAGATAGACACCGGAAAAAAGCGTTTTCAATATATAGCCTTTGATATATTTTAAGCTAAAATTTCGACTAAACAACTCTAACAGCATTTCCAATATACTAATTGACTACAAGTTTATTTGTCCTATCCGCCATAGCTTCTTTAGCTTTCTATTCACCGCAACTCTGCTAGAAAGTTTGCCTGGTGCTCGAGACTGGCGGTGTCCGATCTCGATTGCCTAGATCGAAGACTAGTCCTAATTGCGTCTAGTTGGTGGATGCTGACGATCTTATCTGTGTTGGTGGCTGAAGACCTCGAGGTCATGTGCAAAGCCCTCTCCGAGACACCAATCACCTACAATCACAATAATAACTAACGTAGATCGCATAAGAGATATAGTCGAGAGAATCATGTTGCAAGGATTTATGCATACCCCCAGTGCCATGGCAGTTGTTGATTAACAGGGCCGAGGGTAAACAAACCATCCGGTAATCATCACACCTCGATGGACTACATAAAGTAGTCCTTGCGATCAATCGATGCCGTGGGACGTGGTAGTTGCGTCTGCCTGAAAAGAGAGACTAACTCACTCGCAGGGAATAGAAAAATCACACTCAGAGTATCCTCCAGGGCTTGCTATCCGATGTGTCCACTAAGCAACAGCTCACGCATCCCTCAACGCGACCGCGATACCAGTATCCATCACTTTACAGAGCAAGACGGCAAGTCTACTACTACGCCCATCCTACATAACCATCTCGCTCCGCGCCTGAATCCTCGCTACCCAACCTCTCGTCCAACTAGATCTGCCAGTCTAGTGCACAGCATATCTGCAGTCTCTCGATGCGGCCGTAGATCTCCGATAGCGGAAAACGTCGAAGCCTACAATACACACAAGGGCCGGTCTACACAGTGCGGATCTGGCTCTAGCTCCGTCTGTGCAGGGGGCGGTGAATCTTGATAGCTGGGTATGTCGCGGACGGCGTGAGGCGTATCTGAGGCGCGCGGGCGTGGGGGTGGCTGCTTATGTAGACAAGATCGAGGCTGAAACGGGGTCTCCTTTTCCTTGCCGCGCTGCCCGCTTAGGGTGTGGTGCAGAGTTGAGGATCAGACTGCGTTGACCGAGGGACGAATGCAGACGGTGCGAGGGTTGGTGCTTTCGGGCAGATCCGGGGCGGGTGTAGAAGGGGCGTGTGCCTTGTTGCTGTTGATATTGTTCCCGGCGGATTATATGCCGGGGTTCACCGGCGTTTCTCGTTCTAGAGGGACGCGTTCGACTACGGAGAACACATTCGATGGGTGATTTGAGCACTGCGCGGGTTTTGAAATCCGTAGAGGCGGATATATTAGCGGAAGAATGGCTGTGAGATTATGTGTGCGCTGTCCAGCGCATCAGCTGTGACAGATAGCGCTGACGCTAGGCTCGTGATTGCATGTGTTCGTGCCGAGGGCGTGAGTACGGTTCAAGGGAAGAGATACAAGTTCTAACAAGCCGGGGGGGCACTTGGTCTTATGTTTGAATTGAGAGAGTGGATATAGTTTAAGAAAAAGAAACTAAGCTATGGATACTGTGTGTGTGTCTGCCATTACAGCAATACTGCGTACACGATTATACAGACGCTGAAGCTATACGGGGTTATATGCCAACTGGCCTCATGACCTCACGGCAGGTCAATGATGAGTTGATGAGTCGCCGAGTTTATCAAATTACAATACCGTATTTTTGTAATTTACCCGAATACACCCGACACAAGATCCCCTTATCTTCAGACTTCTATACCAGCTCTTTCCCTCAACACAGAGCTTCGTTTCTAGAACTCAATTGCTGTTCTGGATTGCAATTCCTACTGGCATCACAATTATCCCCAATCCCCATATCAATGGTCTAGATAGCTCCGGACAAGGAAAAACGCGTAACGGCTGCACCCTGAATCGAGCTTGTGTGGGTCCCGCCAAGCTGCGATCAGCCGAAATTGCCAAAAATCGAATTTCCGGGAGAAATGCGAAGAGCCTCTGGTTAGCCCGATTGGGATGGTTTAATTTGCCCGTGAAAATTTTTTTCTGGAGGTAGGTTTGCCTATATAAGGGTCTCCAGCCCCGTTCAAATGGGAGGGAAGGTTGAATGATAGTTTACCATATTACGCTGAATGTTCTGTGTAATCTTCTTTAAGGCAATCCGAAAAGACCAGTTTTCACTGCGATAATCGGATTATGGCGGGTCAGAAATCCAGTCCAAGTGGATCAGTGAAAAAGCAAGGACACGACAACCCGGAATTTTTGGCTTTTTTTTTGGTTCTTTTTCCCCCTGTCTTTGCGGCTATCTTTTCAGTTCACCCCCTGCTATGGATCTATATAAGAATCGTACATCACCTGCAGGTCCTATGCATGGGTTTTTATTTCCCTCGGCAACCCATAGGTAGGAGACCGAAGCTATTCGGGGTACCGGATCTGTCCAGAATTACGTATTTCCAAATGTGACCACTCGGTGAGGTGGATTCCCGAGGGACGAAGGGGGAGACAATATCCACCACGCCCACATTATTTGGCTCCTTTCAACCGATGGTTGCCCAGTGACTCCGTAGTTGGTGGACCTGGAATCCGAGTCGGGCCGGTTTGGGCGACGCCGGGAACGAATCCAGGAAACCTAGCGGACCCGAGGGAATTATTATTGGTTGAGGGGAGCTTGTGGGTGGACCGATCCACTGGATTGGAACATGCTTAAGATCCACTGCAAGGGCGGAATTCGAAATTTATTTTATTTATCTTACTTTTGTCTTATCCTCACCTCGTAATTTTATTTTATCCCTTTTGTTCGAGCTTCTCTACAAACTAGCATATGTCCAAAATGGATTAAAGACCACTATGTAAACTCCCCTTGCAAAAGTGAAGGGTCATCTTTTTTTTTTCCCCATGCAGGGGATATATTCTGATAGATAGTCTCAAGACCCATAAACACCTCGACAAATAAAAACCTGTGGACCCAGTTGGAACAATACCCGATTGATCCCGACACGTAGCAATACACGGTAAGAATGAGAAAAAAACAAGACCAAAACCGAGTAAAACAGACAAAAACAGAACAATACCAACCCCCAGCATTCCTAAACAGTGTGATTTGCGGTGATTTGCGTATGAAATACTCCGGAGTCCACGCACAACCTAGGGCTTTTTTTTTACCTTACACATACACTAAGACCGACTAGGAGGCGGACGGGCGAAAATTTGGCCGTAGAGTATTTATGTCCTAGTGAGTGCCGTCTCCCGTAGTTTCCCAGCTTTTTCTCCCTGAAAAGTCCATCTCTCTCCTCTTTCCTTCTTTCTCCTCTCTTCCACCCACCCTATAATTCTATAACCCATCCATCACAATGGCCGCCACTCGTGTCTTCACCTCCCGCATGGCCTCCGTCATGGCCCAGACCTCCAAGGTCGCCCGCCCTGCTGCTCGCTTCCAGCTCAACGCTGCCACCAAGCGCACCTTCACCCAGAAGGCCCCCGCCTTCGGTGCCCCCAAGCGCATCCAGTCGCCCACTCTCCTCCAGGCCAAGGCCTTCCAGACTGCCGCCCGCCGCCAGTACTCCTCCGAGGTCGCCTCCGCCATGGTTGAGGTCTCCAAGAACATCGGTATGGGTTCCGCCGCCATCGGTCTCGGTGGTGCCGGTATCGGTATCGGTCTCGTCTTCGCCGCTCTCCTCATGAGTGTCTCCCGCAACCCTGCCCTCCGTGGCCAGCTCTTCTCCTACGCCATTCTTGGCTTTGCCTTCGTCGAGGCCATGGGTCTCTTCGATCTCATGGTTGCCATGATGTGCAAGTACGTCTAAATTATCTACAACTCGGGTTTTCGGATTCTTGGAAAAATGTCATCAAAACAAGGATTTTGGGTTTTTTGAGAGAATCTCTTTTTCCGCCGGGGAGGGTATTTGGTCGTGATGTATTACCATGTACTACTTTCAGCGTCATCTACAACACTTTTCTTTCTGTACATATAGAGTCCTATATGGCCCATCGACCATCCAACCTATAAAAGAGCCAAACAAAAAACTCTGTGTGTTGCGTCTGACGGCCGTATAAAATCCTCTTTTCCCTTCCTAGAATTCTTCACCTTCCCCACGGGGGCGAACGGTTGAAATATGCACACGTATGGGGGCTTCACGAGCTATCTCTTGCTCGAAAGCTCTAAGAACTCCACGTAGACAAGCTAGAAAGCTATATCCCGGGGGAAATCCTAGCTCGATCTTCAAAACAAACAATTTCCTGCTCTGTTTTTAGGTTGATTTTTTCCCCCATTATAGCGGATGTTGCTACGGGGTCCTGCAGTATTTGGCCCGCTCTTCAACCAGCAACTACGCCACAACCACCACCCATTGGCCTACGATATACGGTGAGAGTAAACTAGAGATGGTTCAAAATACTATTGAGCTATTTTATAGCAAATCATCGGTGCTGGCGGACGGCAATTGAGCTGGAGAACTCGACGTAAAATTCTTAGCTCCCGGGCCTCGGGAACGGCTTTCCCGTAGTCAGCTGACTCAGCTTGTGACATCAGCCTCAGCATTTCAGGGCTGCCACGGAGGTCGAGTTTCTGCATGCAGTATGCAGGACTTGATGAGCAAAGCAAGTCATATTTCATTGTAAACTAGGTGTCTTGTCAATTAACTCTGGCTTGGGGTTGATGAATTGGATGCTCTGATATTCTTCCCCGTTATATCCACGAACCCGGTCTAGTCCGCTTTCAGTTAGTGACAATATCAAATTGTAGTATAGCTTGGTGACATTGAATATGTAATAGATCTTTCTTTTGGTTGGATTTTTAGAAATATCTATGGAGTGAGGGTGTTTTTGAGGCCCAACGTTCTAGGCATTGTCCAAACCAGAAATATATACAATGTCTCTGGGGTTAGTCCTCAAGGGTTCATCTAATATATACATTGGCAACCACGACATCATACATATCGACCATGAATTTTTTTCCCCCTTCATTTCTTTTCCAGTTTAATCTAGCATAGCAAATTCAATAATAGGATGTACAGTAACCACCAAAAGGACTTGCCACTATAAAAGACCCAATGAAGCCAGAAGAGCAATGCACGTGCCAAGCAGACACGCGACTCATCGCGTTAATACATCTAGCCAACATACTCACACTCTAGTTGGAAGGCACAAAAGCTCAATTGCATCAAGAAATATGCTTCATATTGAATGGTATAAACACGAAACTCGTTAGCAGAAAGATTTGCAAAAAGAATCACAAAAAATCGACTCCAGACATGCCACAATCGCTCGATGAAACCGATGAAACGCTGATGGGGAATATGTATCACCAGGACTCGACAAAAGGAAAAACCCCCCGAAGTATAAGTGCGAAAAGCAAACAAACCAAAAACAAAACCAACAAAGAAGAGAAGCTAGAAGATTTCCAAATCCTCAAACTCAACTACCAACCCATCCGCCGAACCCGTCGGCAAAGAGGTATCGAGCGTCATCCCATGCATAGCATCCCACATAGTACCCCCACGCGAAATCCCCATGGGTCGACTCGCATAAACCCCAACATGAACAAACTTATCCTCAACCCCATAAAAGAACCAAGTCACCTCGCGCAACTTCTTCCACGTATCCCCCACCGCACCAGGCGACAGAGCGAACGGCGATGCCGACGGAACCTGGTACCAAATCCACAGCGCATAATCGACACGCTCGAGCTTGATGCGCAGCGAGTGGATCCCCAATCCGGTCTGAGTCGACTGCGCCAACGGCGACAAACACCAGTCCGCGCCATCCGCCGTCGCGCTCACCGACGACGCGTTCACTGTCCCTGACGAAAACTCCATCCCGGCTTTCACCCATTTACAGGGGGAGCGTGGAGTGGTGCGGAAGGGTGGTCTGTCGACGTCCGAGGAGAAGGATTGAGGTGCTGCGCCGGCGAATATCACTAGGCCGCCTTGGTCCCATTCCATTTCCCAGTCTGCGCTCACGGTTACTTCCGCTACGACGAATGGGTGGCGGAGGGATGTGAAGACGATCGGCGCTGTGGAGGTTTCGCCGTTGGGCGGTTTGCGCCATAGATCTGTGTTGGGACCTGCTCGAAGTGTGAAGTATTCCATGCATTGGGGTAGTTCGAATGTCGGTGGGAGGTTTAGAGCCGTGAAGGTTGATCCATCTGGAGGCATCTTTTTTTTGATTTTTTGATTTTTTGATTTTTCTTTGATTTTTGAATTGGGGTTCCACGCGCTCTTAATAGACGAAGGGAAATAATTGTAGAGTCACACTGGGTGGTTTCTCGAAAATAGGAACACCCCGGATGAGACGCAGCAGTTGATAACTCTTTTAAGTCCTTCGGCAATGTTGGGGTCACAATATTTGCTTCTAAAGTTTAAGCAAATGCACTAATTCGAGCAAAAAACAGATCCATGCACGATGAGCAGGAGGCAAAAAAATAAAATAAAATAAAAAATAAAAAAAAACCAAAAAACCAAAAACCAAAAGCCAAAAGAATTGTTGGGATATGATGCAGTCGAGAATTGGGATACGCCGAATGCGGGTTGCGCCAGACCTGGAAATGGGGAACACCGAAAAAAAAAAGCAAAAGGAAAGTAAAGAAAAAGAGAAAAGAAGAGCGAATAAATTATTATGGCTTGAAGTACGGAGTACGTCGTACTTATATAGTGACAAGTGTTAGTGTTGGCTTCCCCCTAATGGATTTCAGGGAACGATCTTCCTAAGTCCCGCTGGGAATGACCCTATGGAAGAAACAAAACCAGAGTACTGGAGATTTGAACCAAGCTGTTGGGCTCACTGGCCGCGCTAGAGTCATGTTCTTTATGGACGATTTCTTTGAGGATGGTCCTCGAGAAGCGTGCTTGCATGGCTTCGGCGACAGATGGGCTGCGGGCTAGTTCACAAGTGGTGGGTCACCATGCATCTAAGGATCCATCACGATGTGACGGAACTTCTAAGAGGAGAATCAAAAGGTCCCTTTAGGGCCAAAAGGACCCGAGGGGCACACAGAACAAGGAATAGGGCGAATGTGTGCAGTTGACACTTGTCAGAGCTGAATGAAAGAACATGCTGGGAAAATGCTTCATATTCACGGTGGCAAGATTATACTTCAACTCATCAAGGATCGATCGGAATAATGCAGGACGCATGAACTGGGTGGAACTCAGATTCGGGGAGCTGAGAATTATCTGGGATGTTCCTTGGTCGGTGGTTTGACAGCTTACAGGAAAATAGGGCACACTGGGGTCAATTTTTTTAATTTATTGTTCATCTCTGCAGACTCAGCCACGCGGTTTCGCTCTCCACTCATGTGTTCTGCACGAGGCTGAAGAGGGTAAGTCGTGAATGTTTCATGGGGAATCCCGGATGTAAGATGTAAGATATAAGATATAAGACATTGATATAAGAATCCTTGAAATAGTTAAAATCCATCTCTTCCCCACATCCCCAATCTTATCCCTTCTACAGAGTACATCTATATCTTCCTTCCTCTACTTTCATCCTATTTCGTACAAAATGAAGTAAAATGTACAGATCAGCTGACATGTTCTTTTTATAGACCGCCAAGTCTTTAGTCTGTGATCCGACTTTTCTTTCTCTTTGCCCGGTTATTGACCGGTGATGTGTTGGCATCTTCGGGCGCAACTTAACTTCTTTCTCTGCCTAATCTCAATTCCATTTCATTCCTTTCTTGAATTCCAAATCTCGAAGTCTACAGTGTGCCCCACGCTAGCATGCGATGTACTCTGTAGCCAAATATGCACGGGGCGAAGTGCAGGTCCCCCAAAAGGGGGCCAAAATGCGAGGACCCCCCACAAATCAACAGGGCGAAGTTCAACTCGTATTTTGTTCTGAAGCTCTCTGCCTTCTAAGGCTAAATAAGAGCTTCGACCAATCAAATCGGCCACATTGACATCTTGGCTTCGTATTTGAAGACCCTTAAGCCTCAATTCAAGCTAGTGTACCCCGTATGGAGGATTTGCTTGAGCCCCCTGATCCATTTACTTAAATGTCGTCGATTTCGTAAAGGTGAACTTGTTAGGTCTTTCAGGACTAAGCAGATTAATCTGCCCTAAAAAAATGGCCCCTCGACGCGGCAGTTATTCCTCGAGCTACTATAGCGACTACAATCCATGGAGCGATACGGTTAGGTTGTCACTGGAAAACTACCGGGGCAAGTCTTTCTTTATCACCCAATTTGCCTTTGATATTCTTTCTCTTCTCGCCTTCATCGCCTTCCTCATCTGGGCATGCAAAATCAGGAATCGCAGTATCCCGCTAAAGGTACTCATTTGCGCCCTGGCTTCCTTTACATGGTACGTGGAAAGATCTAGACTAAAATCAACAATCCCATTAACTAGTGGGTCACTTCTTAGCTGCCAAATAAATGTCGTTGTCTGGGAAGCCCTAAATGTCGCCGAGGCAGAGGTGACAAAGTACTATTTGATCTGCCTGATGCTCTGGGACTTCTTCAGAGTCGTGGCGATCTGTCTTACCTTCTATGTTTTCTGGAATCTCATTCATAACTTCCTGAGCCATATCAGAGGTTCCGGTAAGCCCCATGTGGCAGTGACCATCATCCATTATATCTTCCTTGTTATTATCTTCGTGATCTCGCTTGCCGAATTTGGCTTGTGTGTCGCTTCTTATGTCCGAAGTGTGACTTCCCCCTACGACGAGACTCTGCAGTTGACCTGGACACATCTGAGTGGTGCGACTGAGATCATCTATTGGGCCTTTTCCATGGAGATCCTCGCATGGATGATCTTCGTGGTTACTAAGGCTGGTAACCATATTTTTGTGTCAAAGGTGAGCCCCACCCCAATACTCCTATACTTCCCCTAAAGGGCACACATTAACTAACTGGCGATTTTCAGGTGCCCGCTATGGCAATCGTCACCGCCGCCGTCTCCTGGTTCGCCGTGTGTTCCCTCTCGGCAATCATCTACATTCGCTATAGCCTGGTGTACGTCGGTTACTATGAATGGCCACTATACCTAGACGCTGTTAGAACAATTTTGAAGTTCATCTTCTGGGTCGGTACTTATACTGGCATTCTCCTGTGCTGTGCGAAATGGCACAGGCTCGGCGATGAGCAGAAGTATCCAGCGCAGCAGTACCAGACTCAGTATCCTCCCACTCAAACCCCGCCCCAGCACCTTACTCAATTTCATGATGGGCAGTACCCTCCGGTTCAACAGCAGCCATATGGTGTTGCTCCTTACCTGGATCATTCGGCACATAATCGGTCTCACCCGCACCATGTCTCACCTTCGTAAGGTTGAAAGTTCAGGTCGGATTATGTTGAGATGTACTGATTGATTTCCTCCTGTTTTTGATATTGTGAGGGTTTCATTCACTGTGACCCTCTCTTTTAATGTATATACCGACGCTCTAATGTTGATACCCAAGGAACTATGCGAATGATAGCAATGCGATACATTTTGTATAAATCATTGTATGAACTATATTTCCCACTATGCTTCAAATTATATCCCCAGAAACTAAAAAAAGCCCCAAAAACATAAACAAAAAAGTGATTCATAAAACACGAAGAAGCAAGTAAACAAAACGTCTCGGCAAGTCACCAGGCGGTGGCGCAAACCCGCGATAACATCATCTCCATTTTCGCCGAGCTTCTCTTTCTCGATCAACAACTTCCCCCCTCCACATCTCACGCAAGAAAAATGGTCTGCTCAAAATGCCAAAAGAAGCTCAAAGCCACTGAGCTTGCCACGCCCGGCGTCAAGCGCAAGAATGACATGTACTACGGCTCGCCGTCTAGTACACTCGGTGGCGGCGCGGACAAGGGAAAGGCGAAGGCGACGCTAGGCGCCACGGGAATCGGAAAGGTATGTTATAAAATCTTCCTTTCGACACTACGAATTAAAATGAATTACTATTTTAGATGAGATTTTATACTGACGTCCCCTCCCAGAGCAAACTCCTGAGCGCGAAAGCGAAGAATCCTTATGCGGCTTATGCTTCGTCTTGTGATAACTGCAAGGTGAAGACAGAGCAGGGGAAGAAGTTTTGTCAGCGGTGCGCTTATCAGAAGAATGGTATGTTCGATTCTTTTTTGGCTTCGCGAATGGAATGCTGATATCGATACTAGCTTGTGCCATGTGCGGCAAGAACCTGGCGGGGAAGTCGGCTAAGGACCAGCCTATTGTCCAGGGACAGAAGTTCAACATGGCATAAGATGCCCGCGTTAGATCTGGGCGGTTGTGCCTTTTTCTTTTCTATTTTGATTCACTCTGTACATGGCGTGGCGTTTTGGGGCGTTTTATGATACCGCGGAATCGAAGATTAATATCAACATTGAAATGGAATGAATTTGATTGGACAGTGTAGGAAAATTCTAGTTATACATGGCATGCGCAATAAGAATATATGCAATGCGCCACCAATGGTGCGCTATAGTATCGGAACAAGTATGCCTTTTTCATCTCTGAAGAACCTTGAACCTCGTGTTCTCCTTCTCACCCAGCTCTAGCCCCCTCCAGCTGCTTCCCGGTATCCACTTCTTACCGGTCGGCCAGCATGTTCTTGATGTTGCTGTAGTATTGCGTGTTCAGGTATTGCGCGAGTTCCTCCTTGGCGAGCCACTTGAAGTCCTTCAGGTCCTGGGTGTTGACGGACAGATCGGCTTGGCCGGCCATCATACGAGACTTCAAGAAGAAGACCTTGCTACCGGGGACCTCGACCTCGGTTGCGTTGTCTGCCTTTTTCAAGCGGCGCGGTTTGAAGGAGTGCCATCCGACCGGGTGGAAGCCGACCATCCAGGTGTTCATGTTGATACCAGCGGACTGGGCGAGGGTGCGCTCAGCAGCCTAGAAGGGAGATAGTATGTCAGTATAATTTCCAGACTCAATATGGTTAGAAAAACAAGCATAGTACTCACCAAGCGAAGGGTCTCGCCCGACTCCACCGGCGAGCTGGGGAACTTCCAGTGTCCCTCCTTAGACTGAACAAGGAGATAGAGAGTGCGGGAAAGCAAACGATTGAGACTCTTTTGGTCGTTCTTCTTGTCTGCCTCCGTGATCCGAGGGTACGGCCGAGGGATTTCCTCCTTTTTGCTAGTATCTTGGGAAGTCGCATTGGCAGTGGATTCAGCGTCCTGGACAAGAGCCTCAACCTGGTGTTCAGGCTCAGACTCCTTTGCTCCTAGCAGGAGCTCATCGTTCCATGCATCGCTGTCGTACGCGTTGTAAGTTCCGATATCACGCGCGGCAGTCCGGCGCTCCTGGATCTTCTTCTTCCAGTCTTCGTCGGCTGGTGTTCCGCGCTTGAAGTAGAAATATTTCGTAAAGGGAAGGGCCAGACGCTCGTTCAGACGCTTCTGGTAGAAAAAGAACGCTTTCTCGAATGGTTCGAGTTCACGGGTGACTTGGGGAGGGCGGGAGAGGACTACACCCGCATTGATGATGTAGGCTGGCTTCACGGCTGGGTCGGCCGCTGTTGATGCGGAAGTCGATTCGATCGCTGGTGCTGCAGAGGAATAGCTGCGGCGGCCAAGGGTCTCTTGACAGCTTCTGCACACGCCGGAGTCGATTATTGATGGCCCTGCGCGCGGAGTCAGTTATTTTGGACCTAAAGAATCCGGGGCAAAAACTTCAATTGGACATACGCAGTAGCGAGGCTACGCGCCGTGCACCATTAGAACCTGATGACATGTTCAAGGGTGGAATGGCAATGTGTTTGGGGCTGATCGGTGTCTTGTCTCTCCGAGAAAAAGATCCAACCAGGTCACGTTGTCGCCATGCCCGATTGGGCTTAGTCACCGCCCGGAGGGTTTAAATTTCAAAATTCAACTTTCTCTTTTCTTTTCTTCTCCAAGCATCTCTTATCATCACTGCGTCCAGTTATCTACGGCCGGTTGATCATTTAAAGGTGCTCAGAGTGAGCTCCTCCTGAGGTCGCGGCCAATTTTCGCTAGCGGTACCTTCTTTATAATCAAGGCGTACTGTTAGATAGCTGCCGCGAACATCCCATTTAGTCTTATTATGTACTTGAATATAAATTCATTTTTACGTTTTTATTTGTACTTTCCTCTCTGTCTATTCCGCTCTGTTCTGCAAGTATTCTCCCCTAGAACCATAAATCACCATCTGCCCTCAAATCTCCACCAGCAGATCTTCCTGCTTTGGCACCTCTCTTCCTAGTTGCACCATCCTCTCCTGTGTACCGAAAACCCGCAGTCTGTTACCATACGTATCCCAGAAGACATCTCCGAGACGCGGCAGCAATTTACCCTGGTTGACCAGGCGAGCGATACGCCCGGAACCAGTGTCGGCTAGGGATGTGCCAGGTGGGGCAATCTGGGCAGGTTGAATCGTCGGAATTGTCTCAGTGTCAACGTCGAAGAAGTCGCTAAATTCATTTTTGGAAACAGGTTGATTGCAAGGCTGTGCCATGATACCGGCAACCAAACTGGGTGCCGTGGTCGTCTGTGGCCGGAGCTGAACAGTCGGCTGTGAAGGGCTGCGCTGTATATCGCCTGCCAGTTTGATGAAAGCCATGGCGGCAAGCATGCTGTCGTATCCTGCCTCGTGGTTGCGGTTACGGAACTTGTACTTCGCAAAGCGAGGGTCGATCTCTGCGAAATGGTTAGTTGTGCTCTCGCTTGCTGTCATGGATATAACCCATGTCCTACCTATCTTGGGGCTTTCTATTCCAGCTAAAGTCGTGTTGAGCTGTTCGAGCGAAGACATCGGGTTTAGAGAGCCGCAGTCATGAGTGGCCATGTACTTGGTATCCACTAGCAGGGGGAATAGGTCGTGAATGACGGTCTGGAACTCGGCGAGGGTATCCGGCAATGGGCCCAGGAAGCATCGGTGGAAGAAGAGCAGATCACAGAACATGTTGTGACCCACTAGGACCGGTCTGTTTTCCTTGAGCCGGTTCTTCACTTTGTCTGACAACTCCTGGATTCCGAAGGTTGGCTGCTCAATTATCTTCATCAGAGGCTGGAAAGTGTCTGGTTCAAGTTCTTCCAGGCTTCCATCCACAAGTGCTTCTGCGATCCAACGGAACCCGATATGCTTCCGGACTCGTTCCTTTTTGACCTTCAATTTCGTTTCAAAGGCAAACTGCTCATTGCATGGGTCCCGCAATTCTATCTGAACGAACGTCGACGCACCCCGCGACGTTAAATTGGGGTATTCGTCACTGATAAGGTGGTGCACCAGCCATTTCTGCATGCTGCTCAACCCGGTAGGGATGGGGCCCGGAATAAGCTGCACATTACTGGGTGGCGGGATGTTGAGCCACTCACGGCGTTTCTATACGTGTCAATTGATTTGCTCCGATCGATGTTTGATATAACGTCTTACCTCGCCCTGCGCTAGCCATTCATTGACACTGACCCGAACGGCTTCAAGGAACTCCAGAGATTCATGATCGTCCTTTTTAATATCCGCAACTTGGACGGGGTTCCGCAACTGACATTTCTGCGCAGCACTTTTGATTGCTAGTTTTTCCTCCTCTCGAGATAGGTATCGAACACCGAAGGTGCACATATGGTCAATGCTGAAGTGGTTTGCGAGCAAGAATTCCATTGCTGCCCAGGAAGATATTAGTGGTATTCTCAACATTTGTCGTAGATATTGGACATACAGCGGCTTCCGAATGTCCAATTCCGATTCACGTCCATCTCATGCTGGGTGATTGGACTCAGATTTATGTTGTATGGTTTCAGGGTATAGGTGGCTGTAGATAATTAGCGAGATACATCTTAAATTGGGGTTGATTGCGTACCAATTTCTTTGTCTTCATGACAAGTTGTCAGCCCAACTTGGAGAATCTGGTACCTCTCCGCGGCAGCCTTGGCTTCCACATATCGTTCCTGCACAGTCTGGGGTCGGGCTTGTGGTGCATTTGGTTTGAAAACCACCCCAGACAGCTCGAAGTCTACGGACACGAAGCAGCTGGTGGAGATGTCATTCAGGATGGAGGGGAGACAATCGGGGAAGTTGACAGCCGTAACATCCATCTTGGTTTAGAGGTCAAGAACGGCATCAAAGTATGAGCTTAGTGAATAAAGATAAGAGGCGAAAGGGTCTTTGTTGAAATCTTGATTGCTGGAAGCTGAAAGGAGAGAGTATGCTTTGGGAAGGCAGGTATCCGAGTTTCATTGATCAGAAAGAGCCCTGCTCTCGCAAGTTGTCGAAAGAGTGATCTGATGGAAAACCGAGAGCTTGATAAAGATTGCTGGTGTACTTGGTTGTGAAGTCTCATGGATCGGATTTATGATAGGAAGAAAGCAAGAAGAGAGAGA